TAGTATATTGGGAGCATAGTAAAATAAATAGCTGGGAATATTAATTTACAAGATGAAATCCATTCCTTCATAAGGAAGTAGATGGACGGTTCCCTTAAGTGTTGATTCAGGATTTGAATAATAAGATAGCTCAATTTTATGATTGGATCATAAAATATATTATTCATTAGAGGATCAATTGTACCTATTGCTAAAGATATAATTAAAGAGGTCAACAGAAAATACATAACTTTAATTATGAACCGTTTATGGAGGATTAATTCGTATGTAGTGACTATATCAATGGTCAACATAAATTCCGTAAACATAATTATTTTATAATTTTAAGAGTGTAATTCTAAATTTATAGTGGAGTAATTTGAAATTAATAATTTTGATATATTAATTAAGGTGTTAATTAATTGTCAAAATTATTGGAGTTTAAAATAATAATATCCATAATTCCTCTCAACGGCTTCAGAAAATTAATGTGAATTATATATATACCATATTGGGTTATGATTATTAATTTAGAATTGAGAATTCTAAATACACATATTAATTAATTTGATTAATTAATATTGAAATTAATTTAAAATTGTTTTAAATTAATATGGATGAATCTCATTTTTATAGAAAGAGAGAAATTTTCTTACACTGCCTCGTTCATTTCACTGATTTGAGTTTTCAGTTCTAGATTTCTACAGTTAAAAACTCTCAGAAAATGTCACATCTATTTTTTTTACTACAGTTAAAAACTATCAGAAAATGTCACATCTCAACTCGAATTGAAAACTCGAATCCGCAAAGTGAACTAGGTATAAAAGTCTCCCACGTTTCTCATTATGAGGAAAGTTTTTTTATTTATTATTTGGCCAATAAGATTTGGCCATAATATTAATAATAAAAAAAAGGAAAGCCACGATTTCTATATATATATATATATATATATATATATATATATAATAAACATTATGTTATGTGTGGGAGGAAGGAAAGAAAATAGGATGGAAAGGAAATATGGAAGTGATGTAAAATAGCAATGATGGAAAGGAAATTGATTTTCTTTTATGTTGTTTAGTACGAGAAAATGGGAAGAAAATGAGCTTACCTTCACTTGTTTGGTATTGGAAGTTAAATTGAGAGGAAAGAAAAAATCTTACTCGTAAATTACTGTTATACCCTTAAATTTTTTGCTTGGATGTTGATGGAAAAAATGGTAATTTAGTAACTTTGCTCACTTTAATGAGTTGTCCCCATTTTGCATTCCATTTTCTGCCCACTTGTGGAAAGAAAAAAATAGTGGGCCCCACATGTATTATTTTTCACTCTATTTTCTCTTCCTTTATCTTTTCTCTCCTACCAAACAACCTACATTTCATTTTTTATTTTCGTTTTCTCCTCTCTCGAGCAGAGGGAGAGAGAAAGAGAGATATTGATGGGGTTTTTACACTGAAAATAATATATTGATAAAACTACTAAACACATTTTTAAAAATGATTTCTGTCTGAGATTGAAAACGTTTTCAGTTTCATTTTCATATAAGAAATAAAATCATTTTGGAACAAGTTCTAAACTGCTTCCTGTGAGAAAGTACAGTGGAAAGAGTTTTCCAGAAAAAGAAAAAAAAAGTTATGGGAGAAGAAAAAGAAAAACTAAATAAAATCTCTTCAGTGCTATCACATACTTTTGAGAAAAGTGAGTGATAACTATAGGTGACCTTTTTAATTCATTTATTTCATGTGTTGAGAAACCCATTAGAATGTACACTCGTTCAAGTTCACGTTGATTCGGAGATACGTTGAGAAAGAACCGTGGTGTTCTAGGAATTTAAAGCTCAAGACGGTGTTAGAGAAGTTCAAGATTAACGTCCTAATTGAGCGACGGTAAAATTATTCTTCTTCTCTTTAATATCTTAGTAGTTAAATTAACATAAAATAATGATTACATTAAATTTTGATTTATGTGATTCGATCGATACCATGTTTCCACAATTTTTTTGAAAATCCAATTTGAGAAACCAACAATTAATATCAGAGCCGTCTTTATTTCATGCTAATTTAATGTTTGATTATGTGATAATTCATGTATGTTTAATGGGTAGGCACTTATGCATATGATGTATGATTCTTATGTGATAGTTATGTATTATGCAACTGAATTGGTCATAAATTTTTCCGGTTCTATAGAATTAGTTTTTGCTATTTTATTTTAATTAGATTAATTGTAAAATATGAATCAATATGTAATTTTATTTTTCTTCAATGGCTAACGGATCATCATGGAAGAGCTCCAACTATTTTGTTTTTATTAAAAAAAATAGGGAGTTGCCGGCAACCGTACGGTCCCCGGTGACAGTCGCCGGCGAGAGGAGGGCCGCTGCCATGGCCAAACGTCGGCCATGGCAGAACTGCAGCAGCCATGAGGCTGGTGCAGGTGACTGCACCTGAAGGTGCAGTCACGGGCTTGTGAGAAGCCCAGGCCCAAGACGGGTATCTCTGCCTCAATCAGTGAGGTAGAGACAATGTAATCTGGGCCAGCTTTCCAGCCGGCCCAGATCACCCAAAAGGCTGCCTAAAGGCAGCACAATTCCTTTTTTTTTTAAATTTTTTAAAATTTTTTTATTATTGGTTTTTGAAAAATTTTTTTTTTTTTTTTTGGAGATTTACTGAAAGGGAGACATGGAGACATGAAGATGAAGGAGACTTGAAGATAAAAAATTACAAGAAAACTCATTGTGATGTAATTTTATTTTTATTATTATTTTGGAGTTGTAATTCTTAGGTCTATGAAACTCGGTCAAGTTTTTCTATCTCGTTTGCATGTCTTTATTTATTTATTTATTATGATTGATAATAATTGTATTGTTTGATAATAATTGTATTGCTTGATAATAATTGTATTGTCATGCATTTAACATGTCATCTAGGATAAAAAGTGTCTACCTAGTTTATATGTATGACATGCATCATACACATTAATTATTTATTTTAATTCTAAAATTTTTTTCGTAAATTAAATTAATTAAATGCACCAAATTGTTGAGTTTAATGAGATTAAATTTAAAGTTATCAAATTTAATAAGATTAAATTTAAAGTTGTTAAATTTAATGATAGTAAATTTAAATAAATTAATTAGCAAATGGTTTTGTAAAATTTAAATACGTCAAATGAGAAATTTATAAATTTAAATGTTAAATTTTAAAATTGTCATAAATGACTTAGTTTAAAATTATATGGAACTTAGTGACTTAAATTGTTTAAATTCACTAAGAAGTATAAAGCAATAGTTGTTTTATAAAATAAATAACCATTTGTAAATAATGAGTGGAAGTGGATAATATGATATAACCCATAGGTCTCTACCGTTAGTAGAACACTGTGAGTAATTAATGAGGCCCCGAGATGCTTTGAGTTTGTCCTCCCTACGGAGGGTATTCATTAATTATAATAACAAGGTTGGCTTCCAAAGAGATAGGATCTCTAAGATGTATTTTAGAATTGACCTGCCCTATGGTAGCAACTTCTAAGTTAAGTCTAAAAGATCTGAAACGATGGGTTACACTCATAAAGAGATAATTAAATTGGTTAATTATTTTCTTGACCTAAATAAAATGAAATTAAGAGATAATTAAATTGGTTAATTATTTTCTTGACCTAAATAAAATAAAATTAATAAATATTAGAAGTATGAGATATTTCAAATAGTATTTATTAATTGAGGTAGTCTTATTTTAATTAGTAATTATTTGACCTATCCTACGGTGACACTTAATTGTGGTGATTAAAATTCCTTAAGCAATTAAACATGTATTTGTGTATTTAACATGTGCATTCATGCATCATATTTATATGCCTTAAATTTAGTAGTGATACTTATGCAAAATGTTGATTGAGTTAAATTCTTTATTTTTAGCAAAAATGTCAAATCCTATTTTCGCACTTCTCGCTTCCCAAATTTTGAATGGTGAAAACTTTGTCAAATGAAAAAGCAACATGAATATCCTCTTGATATGTAAAAACTACTATTTTGTCCTTAAGCATGATTGCCTTCTAGTGCCTTCAGCCAATGCCGCCAAGGCTGTGACCGAGCGATATGATCGCTGGGTCAACGCCAACAACAAGGCATGTTGCTACCTGTTAGCAGCAATGAATGAAGTGCTGAGAACTCAGCATGAAGACCTTGCGACTGCTAGAGAGATCATGGACTCTCTTCAGAAGATGTTTGAACGTCCATCTGATTCAGCCCGACACACTGCTGTCAAAGCCGTTATGAATGGCCGTATGAAGAATGGTTCTTCTGTACGTGATCATGTGCTTAAGATAATTAATCATCTTAATAAGGCTGAAATTAATGGGTCTTAGATTGATGAGAAGACCTAGGTTGGTATGATACTGGAGACACTTTCTCCTGATTTTCTTCCATTCAGGACAAGTTATCTGATGAACCAAAAGAATGATAACTTGACTGAGCTCCTGAATGAGCTGCAACAATTTGAGTCCCTTATAGGTGATAAGGGAGGCAAGGCAAACGTTGCTGAAGCCAACACAGTTAAGGGAAGGCCTTCTTCATCAAAGAAAGAATCAGGGGAACAGCAAGGGGAAGAAGAAAATTTAGAAGAACAAGCAGAACAAGGCTGCTCCAAAGCCTAAGATAAATCAGAAAAAGGTATGGGAGAAGAAAAAGAAAAACTAAAGAAAATTTCTTAAGAAAAGTAAGTGATAATTATAAATGACCTTTTTATTTCATCCATTTATATGTTAAGAAACTTATTAGAATGCCCATTTATTTAAGTTCACGTTAATTCGGAAATACGTTGAGAAAGAACTGTGATATTCTAAAAATTTAAAGTTCAAGATCAAAATTAACGTCCTAATCGAGTGACAGTAAAATTCATCTTCTTCTCTTTAATATTTTAGTAGTTAAATTAACATGAAATAATAATCACATAAAATTTTAATTTATATGATTCAATCGATACCACATTTTCACACAATTTTTTTAAAAATCCGATTTGGGAAACCAATAGTTAGTTGTTAATATATAAACGCCCATATTCGTTTCTAATTTCAGCACATCAAATGAGCATACACAAACAATATATACACAGAAAGGCAACAACGATTTAAAAGAAAAAAAAACGCTACCTTGACCAGATTTTTTTCTTGTTATCTCTTTCCTTAACTCCTTGTACCTGATCTCTGATAATCCTCTTTTGAGTGAAAGGCCCCTGAGTGGTAGTGGCTGGCTTTGCTGTTCTCGTAATTCTTGCAATCTTAGGCGGGTCAGATTTCCTAATCTTTTTATCATTCAAACCATTTGATACCATCATTATGTTTTCTGTCTCCCCACTTTTGAACTCTCTTTTCCTTCTTGTCCCTTGGATGGAATCATTCCCTCTCATAGACCCTTGACTCATTGGGCGGTTCAGTGAGTGTGAACTCCTTAAAACATAAGTCTCAATATCACTCATCAATTCATCTCTTATGCAGGTCTTCACTTCAGTAGGAGTGGCCCTAATTGCGTCGACGTAATCATGCGTACATCGGAACTGTTGCTCTTGATCCCTCAATTTGTCCTCAAGCTCCTTAATCTGGCATGACAAGTCAAATGAACATTAGCACTTTCAGATTTTGGTCTTCCAAAGGACCTAAAACATGGACATAACAGCGAAACAGATACCTTCTGATTAAGTATATCAGAGCATTGCTTTTGTTCCTGCTCCTTCAGTTTGATCTCAAGCTCCCTAACCTGGAAAAAAAATATATAGAAGATTTTCAGTATGTTAGGCCTTTCAACTTGTCATTAGCAAACAGAAGATTAGCTAGAAATTCGAAGTTATTGGCAACCTTTTGTTGAAGGGCAGCAGCATTAGACTCAGCCTCTTGCACTTGGTCATTCAGCTTGATTTCAAGTTCTTTAACCTGATTCAATTGAAAAAAAAAAAAAAAAAAAAGAGGGTGAGAGAACAAAAAAAGCACTTGACCTTTCAGTTTTGTTTTCATCGTCACTTATAAACAAGAAGGGAAAATGTAATCCAGTCAATTTCCTACAACCTTTTGTTGGAAAGTTTCAGACTCAGACTGCTGACGTTCTCTAAGCTTGGCCTCCAACTCTTTGACCTTTATCATATTCAAAAATCTGATTAGAAAAACAAAAAGGGGATAAAGAAGAAGGGAAAATGTAATCCAGTCTGAGTCTTTGACCTTTATCATATTCAAAAATCTGATTAGAAAAACAAAAAGGGGATAAAGAAGAAGGGAAAATGAAATCCAGTCAATTTCCTACAACCTTTTGTTGGAAAGTTTCACACTCAGACTGCTGACGTTCTCTAAGCTTGGCCTCCAACTCTTTCACCTTTATCATATTCAAAAATCTGATTAGAAAAACAAAAAGGGGATAAAGAAAAAATATCTAATAGTCAAGTGAAACGAAATAAAAACCTTTTGCTGGAGAGAGCAGCATATTTCTTCTCTTCCTTTCAGTCTATCTGAAAGTTGTGAGACTTGTTTCTCTGATTGGCCATGCAAAGTTGTCTTTGCCTCAAGATGGCTTTCAAGTTCTTTGATCTTATCTTGCTGAGTTTTGTAGATTTGATCCTTTCCTCTGGCCTTACTCTCTAGGCTCTGCAAGCTCTCCTCCAGCTTCTTTAAATGTTCATCTTTGGATCTAGCTTCCTGCCTCGCTTTTTCAAGCTTTTTGTAAAAATCAACATACAAAATTTGTGTTAAGGAGAGCAAAATATGAAGTTTGTGTTAAAGACAAACAAAAGAAACGGGGAGAGAGAATAAAATTGAAGATCTACTAACCATTACTTTCATCTTTTGAAGTTCACTTGTATCAACCTGCTTCCTTGCAGGACCCAACTCAATTCCACGAACCCGTGTAGCAAAATTTAACGAACTCAGAGTCTCTCCCAAGTCCTGGTCTGAAGGACTTATTTGCAAAAACATCAAGGTCTTCGAATCACCCCCTGCAATATGAGGACAACTCTCTCATTAGTATAATTAATGAACTTATTAGTATAAACTTCTCAATACAAAACCAGTGAGATCAAAATTATTACTACTTGAAAGCAACGACAAAGCTAATACGACTTCTATTACCTAATGAATCTTGAAGTAGATGCGTCAATTTTGAGTTCCTGTAACCAAACAATAAACGTTGTTCAAAACAAGAATGAAATATATGTGGAAAAATGATCTGGAAGGCACCACACAAATGATGGAACAAACCTGTAAGGAATGTGACTGCTTTTATTTGCTAAAGCAGATATCACATCTCCCAGAGCTGAAAGGGATCTGTTGATATTTTGGGCTTCCTTAAGTCTCTCTCCTTGGACTTCCGTTTTTGCAAGCCTCTCACTGCCTGCCAAATCCACCAGCCAAAGCTTGCTTTTTGTGCAATCACCATTTATCAAGTCCTTAGCTCTTACTGTTATGCAAAGCAAGCTGCATAAGCAATTGGTATTAAACGTTATTTATGGTTGATAGCTACTGAATTAAATGTATTGTAAATGTAGTAGTGAAGCAATCTGGGAAGAAAACAATAGAGCTCTTCTTTACCAATGGGATCGACTGCTATGCTCATTCACATTGTTGCTACCGATGGCTCTAGCATTGCTTCCAGCCTGCAATACAGTCCAGACTTGATCAATGTTATCAACTTTGGCTTCTACAATTCCTGGAACATGATGAGACCCTTCGGATGCTTGTTTAATCTCCAACCTGGCAATACCACAAACAACAACAATAACAATAACAACAATAATAGTAGTAGTAGCAGCAGCAATAATAATAATAATAATAATAATAAGCCTTTTTTTCCTCCACCTGGAAACGCTTGATAAAAGATCTGATAATCGTAAGGCAATAATAATAATAATAATAATAATACTAATAATAATAATAATAATAATAATACTAATAATAATAATAATAATAATAATAAGCTTTTTTTTCCTCCACCAGGAAACGCTTGATAAAAGATCTGATAATCGTAAGGCAATCCTATCACGGCTAATATTAATATCTATTAGATGTTTATCCTTTGAACTGAAAACACTAATCTTACTTCTTTGATGTTGGTGATGTAGATAACAAGTCCCTGATCTGCTCATTGTAGACTTCAAGTACACTAACAGATATGTCATAGTTGAACCTTCCACTTCTTTCCCTGGCAATATCAAACAGTTTCTCAAGGGTCCTGTAATTTACTCCCCTGTTCTGCTCAGTACCCTCCATCGTAAAAGTCTTTCCAGTCCCTGTTTGTCCGTAAGCAAATATGCAAACATTATAGCCATCTAGCACTGAAATCACCATTGGTGAAGCATCCGCGAAAACATCAACTGTCAAAACAAGCAAAACTATCCATCATACTTGTTTAAGAAAGTTAAAAACTACACAGAGTCCAATGATAAAAAAATATATGGATACCTTGATCGTCTTTGGGTGTGTACACTCTATCAAGCTTGAATGACTTTTTACTGGAGGCAGCTGTTAGAATGCCAAGACTTCCATCCTTTGCTGCATCAAAGTCTACAACTGTTGTACAGCCAGCTGCTATTTCCCCCTTATTTAATGGGCGACAGCGGCAAAAAACTCTAATATTTCCTGAAAATTTTCGTGTATATATGTATATGAATTCTGTTAATTATAACAGTGAGAACTGGTGGACTTATCAGGAGATGGCAAAATAAATACCTTTAGCTTCCTGAGCCTCATTAAATAGCTTTTTCCTCTTAGCTTGCTCTTCACTGTACTTCACTTTAAGATCTTCACACTGTGCAACTGTAGAACTACTACATTAGTCCACGAAAATGCATAACTTAGAAAAGAAAGTAAATCTAACATACCCAAAGCTTGTACTGCAAAAACCATTTTATTCAACTCTGGAATTGAATCAACACACTTATGGGCTTCACGTGAAAGTTGAAAATGCTCTTTCTTCATAAGCTGCATAAACAAAAGTAGTAGTAGAAATTTCTGTCAAAAAAAATATAAACCAAGTAGAAGGTATAATTTATTCTATATATAAATTTGATCTGTGATACATATATAATGGTACCTTAATCTTTTCTTGCAAATCTACGGCTGCCACAGCCCATCGCTTTTTGTCATGCTCATACCTGCCAGAGATATCCTTCAAATCCTCTACTTGTTTATTCATTGCTTGATCTAATCATCAAACAAAACACATAAGGACTTAAAGATCTCTTGCATTGGGAGAGAGCACATAACTAAAGATAAACTTTTTAGTCAAGCTATAATCAATCGGAGGTCTATCATGACTATTCCCTTAACAGTTTTATCCTCTTCTTATTTTTTGGTTGGCAATAACTAATAAGTAATAAGTGAGTAACATCGTTCTGTTGAGTGCATCCCAATGCAAAAACTTAGTACTATAAATCATGTGTACATGTGTGTGAGTTATAGACAAAGTTGATTATAGACTAATATAGATAAATTTCTCATAATGTGTCAAGAAGCTCACGTTCCATTTTTTTAATAGGTTAAAACACTTATTTTTGTCTTTTTCAAGAGACTAAAACAATGGGCACTACGTGATCAAAATGGAAATTCTTAAAAACCTTACCTTGAGAGAGTTTCTTAAATGTCATGTTGTCAAGTTCCATTCTGACCTTTTCTAGCTGCTCATTTGCTGTAGTCAATGACATCCATGCCTCGTAGCACTCTTTTGCTTTAAGCTGGCACTGTGTGGTGAGCTCTTGTATCTTCTTCTCATATTTGGCTGCAGACTTTGTTTGCATTAGTTTCATCTGCATGTTGTGAATTTGAGATGTCCAATAAGCAACTATTGGCAGCTTTAAGCTGTAAACTCTGTGTTAAGTGCGTCTAACCTGAGCTGAAGGAACTACTATCTCAGCGTCGCAGTTGTCACACTTAAGAAGTTCATTTGTCAGCTGCGGAACTGTTATAGTTACAACATAATTTATCAAATATTTATTTAGAATAAGATATAGATACTTATCTTCACTAAATATCAAATCATGGTGATCTATGAGAATACCTGACGCATTTGGTGCTCGCCTTATGCCAATCCCACTAATTGTCGGGCTTCCAACAACCCCTTCAAATCTCATCACAAGCACTCGGTCCTCTTTCACAGAGACCCTCAAGTCAACCAATTTCAGCGGTTTATTTGCTCCAACAACAGAGAAAATATCAAAATCTGATAGGACCTGTAGTATTCACGAAGAAAAAATCCATTTCTATTTTTCCGGGAAAGGAAGATGATAAGTAGATACACTATATGGTTTCTGATTAGGAACTTACCTCCTCTTCCTGGATAAACACATTGAACACCCTCATCCCTTTTGGTCCATTTATGTTTATTATTTCGCTGAAATGAAGATCAATGTAATATTCTCCAGGTGAAAGGTCAGTGAACCGATAACAGAAATCTCCAAACCGTGCTGACTGATAAATGAATGGAAAATCTCCAGCATCGGTTATTTGCTCATTGGTCCTCAAAATGTTCCCTCCTTCATAACAAGTGTCTTTCAGAAATTTTACGGTGGAATCTGCATCATTGACAGCCTCCCCTCCAGCATTCACAAACATCACATATTCATCTGTTTTCAAAGATGCCGCGATTAAGTTAATACTTCACTCACCAAATTCAATTACTGAGTTTCATCCACAAATTAAAGGGTGCACACTTATTAAAATACCTAACAATTAATATCTGCCAACGACCAGAAAAAACCCGAAAAATATGAACTTGTATCTTAAATAAATAGATAATCATAAAATTAAGTAATAGCCATGTTCTTGGTTTCTGGCTAATCCAGATCTTACGTTTTCACTAATTTTACCAAATGTAAAAGTCCACAAATCAGAAGGAAAAAAAAGGCCCGCTTGGTTTCTTTTCCTTTCGCGGGTTTTCCTAGAGTCTTAACAGAAACTGATCTACAGCGAGGAAAAAAAAAGGAAGTGCGTCAGAAACACTAACCTGTGGAATCGGATCTCGTTAACCCGGAGGGTATTAGCCTCGAACCGGAGTCACAGAGCATCGAATCTACCAAAGACACGTCAGTCTCTCCCATGGCGAAGTCTTTTGGTTCTTGAATCGGTGGATTAGCTTTATCGGTATCAATAGCCCAAGAAACCGAGGAACTTGAAGTTAGGGTTTCTGGGTCTTGGTAGGCGTTTCAGATGTTTGGGAAATGGCAAGAAAATGATTCAATCGGAGCGAGAAAGTGGGCTGGTTTGGAAATTGGAAAAGGAAGAAGAAAAGAGCGTGTATTTTTTGTTGGCTTATACCGTCCTCGAGTTTATTCGAATTTGAATTTAGAGAGCCGTTGCTTCTAAATAGAGAATATGACCGTTACTTTCCTTTTAAATGACCTTTTTACCTCATTGGTCTTTTCTGGCGAATTTAGCGGATTGTTTCCTGAGGGGTGTTTGCTTTGGAGGCGGCTTGGAGGGTGTTTTTTTTTTTTTTTAAATAGTACCAACTAAGTTAAAAATAATTTTTTTATAAATTATTTAGGGCTGTTCATTTGCTTCAAGAAATGAGTAATCTTGACAAATACTTTTTAAAAGCGCACGAGTCAAGATTTTTACTTTTTTTTTTAATTTATAATCTTTTTAGTTAAATAATTACACTAATAAAAGTGTATTTATAAAGAAGACTCATGTACTCTTAAAAGTAAATTCTTCATATTTTTTAGGAAATATGAGTGAGCTCAACCCAACTTGAATGAGTTTTTCATATTTGCTAACATATAAATATCTTTTTACTAAAATAACTCCTCAGGTACAATTCACATGACTAATTTCCATCTAAAATTTAACAATGTTACTCAAATGAGGTTAATTGTAACAGTTGAGAAAATTTAAAGAGTTGATTATCAAAATTAAAAATTTATGGGGTAATTTGTTAAACCACAATGAACTAAAAGACAAATGTACTAAAAATCCTTATTTTAAAAGGCATGTTATAACAGGGTGATCTCTTTTCATCCATTTTGAAATGCGAAGATAGCAAAAAAAAAAAAAAAAAAAAAAAATAAAAAACCTTGTTGAGTTGGGTAGGTGTGGTAATCGTCCCTCTCTAATGTGTAAGAGAACCAACGTGCAAAAACCCCTTGTTTTTTTTTTTTTTTTTTTTTTGATCAACTAAGAAGTCAAACTATGTTGAAAATCTATCCTTATTTTAAAGGGGTTCTACCTTTAAAAGCAAACTCTTTAAGTAGAGATTTAAAGGTATTTTTAATTTAACACTTTGTTTTAAATTTTTGTTTAAAACATGAATTATTTGTGCTTTTTCATTCATAGTATCACACCTCAAAGAAGTAGACACGTGAATTTGCAATTCTTAAGGTACGTTGAAGATGAATCAGTATCAATCGTGCAGTGGAGATACGTTGTCAAAATAGCAATAGAGCTTCTATTGGAAAAAAAACACTATTCACACCAATAGAAATAGTAACTATTAGATAATGTAGAGTAGTCTAATGTCTGAGTGCACATTTTTTTAATTTCTGCATAATTTCATAAGAGCATATCATTAACTCTTTTAATAAAAACTATGGATTTTCTATTTATGAGTATTAAATCTACGTATACATGAATCATATCTACAATGTATAAATATGTATACTTTCAACAATGTCAAGATGTTGCGGTACATCAAAAGATACAAGTTACACACACATGTTGATTATTCATATTAGGATTAAGATAGATTACATATAACTAGTAAAAGTGAATTACTTGATTCAAACAGAATTATTGATCGAAACAATTCAATTTTAATTCGATCAAATATATATTTTATGAATATAACAATAACAATGTATGTACCCATGGAGTTCTACTCCAACAACCAAGACAAGTTATCTCTATTAAGAAGTACACAACATAACAATCTTAATATAAATGATTAATTTTAAAAATTCCCCCGAACTATAATCTTTGTAACACTTTGCCCCCGAATTTTAAAACGTAACATCTGTTCTCCCGAACTTTGTTCCATTAACAAGTTTTTCCCTTCTATTACGATGAGTGACGGAATTCACCACGTGTTAGGCACATGACCAATTTGGGGAGAGTAATTCTGGAATTTTCCCTACTACCAAGCCACTTTCACAATTTGAAAAAAAAAGAACTCCCTTTCTCTAATTTTTCTCTCTTCCTCTCTCTCTTTCTCGATTATTGCTCTACCTCTGAGAAACCAAAAAAAAAAATCCTAGACTTGAGAAACTAGATCTCCACCTGCAACATCAATGGAATTGGGTTGCCGAGGCCGGACAGAGAGTCGCGATAAGGTTGGAGAGAGAGAAGAACAGGGTTGGGCACAACGGTGGTGCGCCGCAGGAGGGCTAGGCTTGCTAGGGCTGGAGAAGGAGGAGCGTGGGTCGCGTGATGATGGTGGTTTATGGTGCATGATGGATTTGGGTCGCTGAGGCTGGAGAAGGACGAGGCGCAATGGGTCGGCGAGGCGCAATGGGTCGGCGAGACGATGATGGTTGAGCTCGCCATATAGAGAAGAGGAGAAGAAGAAGGAGCCTCATGTTAGAAATTAGAAATTGGAAAAAATGGAAATTAGAAAGAAAGAAAGTCAGAGAGAGATAGACGAGAGAGAGGGGGAAAGAGGATTTTCTTTATTTTTTCTTATTATTTTTTATATTTTCAGAGGGTATAAATGTAATTGCACTTTTAATTTTCACTAAATAAGTGGCACGTGCAATTTTCGTCACTCATTGTAATAGAATGAAAAAACTTGTTAACGAAACAAAATTCGGGAGAGCAGATGTTACGTTTTAAAATTCAATGGGCAAAGTATTACAATGATCCTAATTCAGGGGGAATTTCTAAAATTAATCATACTATAAATAAAGCATCCAACTTTATTCCATCAATTGTGGATCATATTATTTAGATTATCATCTTTAAATTCATGTCTTATGCATATTTAACTAATATGAGCGTAAAGAGAATAATACTTGATGTATAAAATAAATAAATAATCCTTTTTTATATCAAAATGTCTAAATAATATTATTACATTTATTCTTAAATGGTATAAATGCAAACATCATAGACTGAAAATATTGGGCCAGAGAGTTTTGGTCCTAATTTCTATATATTATGCTTATTATATTAATTAATGGAAAAATCAAAACTAAATCAAAGTAATAAATTAAGAATCAACTGTAGGGCAATTTAAAAATCAGAGACTAAAGTGAGGTTGAGTGTAAACTTAAGAGACTATTTATTAGATTAACCTTAAATTTTTGTAATATGATAATTTGGGAAATATATTTTTAAGCACATTTGCCTCATGAACTTAATATGATTTAGTAAATTACCTTCTACATTTTTAATTTTAGTTATTAACCCTGTAAAATTCTTCAATTGTTGTAATTATACATATTTAGGACTTGTTTATTTGCATTTTTTGAGTTAGGGTGGATCTTGATTTGAGTTAAGGTATATTTGAGTATGAAATGAGTTGAGACTTTGATTTGAGTTTGTGATTGGATGTGTATATTTTGAGTTATAGTTTAAATTGAGAATCTATTTGAGTTTGTATTTGGATAAGTCAAAACTTGAATTTGTATTTGAATAGTATTTTAACTTTTTTACTACAGTAAAAAACTCTAACATAATGTCACATCTCAACTTGAATTAAAAACTCGAATATGCGAACTAAACGGACCTCAAGTTAAAACTCAAGTTCAAACTTAAATTTTATAAAAGAACATGAACTTAAATAAAGTTGTAACTTGAGTTCAAACTTTTTTAAATTGAACTTTTTTTATATTTAGATGTGAATGAACAAGCCCTTAATTGACAACATTAAATTTTAGACGAAATTAAGGGCCCGTTTAGTTCGCTAATTCGAGTTGAGATGTGACTTTATGTGAGAGCTTTTTACTGTAGTAAAAAAGTTAGATGTGACTGTTTCTAAAAATTTTTTACTGTAACAACACTCAAATTCTAAACTTAAATCAGTAAAATGAACGAAACCTAAATATATAAAGCTCACATAGGGTTTTTTGGAGGGTGTTTTAGTAAAAAAACGTTGTAAATAAGTAACTAATTAAATTAAGATGAAAAAAGAGGAAAAAAGCTCTATAGTTATGTCAATTCTCATTCTCATTTACTGCAAGCTCGACTTACTCTTTCTCTTTTGTGAACCAAACCAAAAGAAAACTTAAAAATAAAATAAAAATTTAGGAGTTGTTCTTTTGCAACAAAACTCAAAAAAGTTTAAACTCAAGTTATAATTTTATTCAAATTTATGTTCTTTTAAGTTCTAATTTTATTTAAGTTCTAACTTTAACTCAAGTTATAACTCAAATTCAACTCAAAAATTACACTCAAATTATACTCTAAAAAAATAACTTCTTAATTTATTTCACTAATTTAAATTTTTTTATAATTAAAAATTCTCATAAAATATTATATTTAACTTTTTTATTATAATTAAAATCTCTTATATAAATCAAATCTTAACTCATGGAGCGAGGCAAAAAGTTTTTAGAGAAACCAATGAATCACACTAACAACAATTAAAAAAAGTGGTCTCAAGTTTTTATGCTTCGCCGACCTTCGTTTAAGCTGGTTTGTTTTCGGCGACAACAACGAAGAAGAGGAAGAGCGCCCAAAAATCGCCTTTGACCCACCCCAGCCGCGAGATCGACCTTGCCGTCATAAGCCCAAGTCGCGGTGAGTTCAATCTTGCCATCGTAAGCCCACACAGCCACGAGTAAGCTCTTCCGTCGCTAGCCCAAGCCACCGCGAAATTGATCTCACCTTCGCAAACTCACCCCTGCTCCTCTCGTCGCAAGCCAGATAGTGAATCGGAATCTGAGATCGTTGGAATCTGGTGAATCGCTTTCTAAGAAATCTCCCCCAAATTCAGTCTTGGCACTTCGAAGCGTTACTTATGGACGTTGATTCCTGAAACGCTCGTCTCTCCTCCGCATCTAAGCGTTATCACTGTGCTCTTCCATTGCGATCTGGCCAGTTCAATTGGCTTCTTTAGTCCCTTTTCTTGATGGTTGTTTGTTTGGCAGCGGAGAAAATAGAAAAGTTCGGAGACGTTTGGTTTATGTTAATGGATTAAAATTATGAGATTAAAATTATTTTTAATTTATGTGTATTTTTTATAAGAGAAAATACTATAACGAATCATAAATTATGATTCTCTGAATCTTCCAACTAAATAATTCCTTCGTCTTTAGTGCGATTCATTTTGTGTGGTTGATCACTTACTCAGGTTAATGCGAGCTTTTGGATTGAAGTTTTCTTTCCTTTTTTTTTTTAAATCCGTTTAACTTTATGTATTACTTGAAATCAAGATTCAAGTGTCTATCTGAAATCATTTCTAAAAATATTTTTCACGTTTTTTAAGAATAAAAAAATTAAAATGCTATGACAAATGCGTTTGACATTACATTTTTTAAAAAACAAAAATTGAAAATATTTTTTACTTATTTTCAAAAACTCAACAAAACTAAAAACGATTAAGCATCGTTTTTGTTTCTATTTTTCTTTCCCCGATTGCCCCCCAACCCCCCACTCTTATGCGACTGCGCCCTCCACCCCCACTCTTCTCTAACACCTCCCCGACTGCCCCGGCAACTCTTCTCCGAAAGTCATTTCCTTTGTTAGTTTTCATGTATATAATGTTTATTTAATATATTATTATTTTAAATATTATTACATGTTTTTTAAAATTAAACCACCAAACACAATTTTATTTTTTTAAAATTGAAAACAATCTCAGAATAAAATTATCAAACGCATTTTTAGAAATAATTTCAAAATAAAAATGAAAACGTTTTCGTTTTTATTTTCATACAAAAAATAAAATCATTTTAGAATAAATTCCAAACGCACCCAAGATATATTCCGCTTTCAATTCTGCACATTGTGTGCAATTATGTTTTTATTTTTATTATTTTTATTTTTGTTTTATAAAAAGAAATGCTCTTTAGAAAGAGTCACGTGAGTTGCACGTGATTATTTTCGTCCATAATTTAACACTGTTAAATAAATGTGTAACAGATAAATAAGTTTAGGCGTTGATCATTAAAATTAAAATTTTAGGTGCAATTTACTAACTCACGATAAGTCAAGGATAAATGTGTGTGTTAAAAACCTTCATAAATATGTTAAAAATCCTTTAAAATTGTCTGTTATGGAACATATATTTAAATCAGTGATTTTGATTCATTAGTGTGAATCTTTATGAATGCGGAAATTTTTGTAAAATCTTTATGAGATAAAAAACACTGTGACGAACCCAAATCATGGGTTCAAATATATCCTCCAAACAACCCCTTAGAAAGTTCATAAAACTGAAGGAGTATAAATGTAGGTTTCATTTGGTATAAGAGTTTAAACCATGGTGATTCTAATTTTAATTTTAGAATCAGAACCATAATTCATGATTTTAAGTTCAAATCATGGTTCTGAAATCAGAACCATAATCAAGGGTTTGAACCACTTAAAACCAAGAGAGATGGTTTTAGAATCAGGGAGATTCTAGTTTAAAACATTACATCAGGGTTTAAACATTGAATCATAACCATCTAGATCAAACACTAATTCTGAGTGAGTCAAATCAGAATCATTTTTTACTTTTTATAAATAAATGTTGATTTAAATCAGAATTATGGTTCCGAGTTTTAAAACCCTTATACCAAATGTGCTCGTAATTTCGTTTGCCATGTGCATATATTTTTTCAAAATAAAAAGGTAAAACAGAATAAGAAATTAGATATGGAAGCCATTTTCTCAAAATCTACCAATGAGATGTTTGTTTTAAGAATTCATTTCTAATTCTAAATCATAATTCTTAGGTCTCGTTTATTTTACCGATTCGAGTTTTTTTAATTTTACAACAGTTAAAAATTCTTACAAAAAGTCAAATCTCACTTTTTTACTATAGTTAAAAGCTCTCATATAAAATCACATATAAACTCAAATTAAAAACTCGAATCAGCAAACTGAATGAATATGATATTTATTTTCTGTATTCGTCTCTGATTCTGAATCATAATTTATAATTTTTTACAATATTTTTCTCCCATAATATTTTTTCTCATAATAAATTGAAATCTTAAAATAAGAATCATGAACGAAACATCCCATGTCACGCGGGGTTGTTTGTATGTCCTGGTAGGTTTTGCTCTTTTATGACCAGCATCATCGATGGAAACTCAAAGTCAGGAAGAAGTTATAGGGCAGAACAAGATGCTTCCTCCTGAGCCTGGATCATTCCAAGATCGCGAAGATCTTATCAAATATGTTCGCGATTTCGGAGCTAGTCAAGGATATGTGGTGACTATAAAGAAGTCTAGGAAAGATAGAAGAGTCATTCTGGGTTGTGATAGAGGAGGCGTTTACCGTAACAGGCGCAAAATCGATGAAAGTAAACGCAAAAGGAAAGCAAGTTCGCGCCTTATAAATTGTCCTTTTGAAGCCATTGGTAAAAAGGAAGATGATTTATGGGTGCTTACCATAAAGAATGGGCATCACAATCATGAAGCCCTCAAGGACATGTCAGAGCATCCTTGCAGTCGTCGTTTTACCGAGGAAGAGGTAAGGCAAATTAAAGTAATGACTGAAGCCGGTATTAAGCCCCGTCAAGTACTTAAGGCTCTCAAGCAAACTAATCCAGAATTACAGTCAACACCAAGGCATTTGTACAATCTCAAAGCTAAGATCCGTCAAGGAACTCTGTCAGGTACTGCCTCTTTCCGAGCTCTTTTTGAGACATAGGCCTGGCTAAGATTGCTTTAGTGGCAGAATCTGAACCATACAGCATGGTTAGGCTGGTTTGAGTTTTCAACTCTTATGTAAATTCATAAGTAAATTTACGTGAGAGAAAATATAAATTAAGTTGTGTTTACGAACCAATGAAATGAACAAGGCCCTAATGACCCCATTTCTTGATGCATAGTTAATAATATTAGGATTGATATGGAAGCTTTCCTGTTGAGAGCTGTAGTTTCTGGATTGTATAGGGGTTGTAATTTTCATTCTCTCGGAGTGGGAGAACAAAGCGAGGCCGTTTCGTGGTTAAATCTTCGTCCATGGTTTTGAAATCCTTGTATATCGTATAAATGGATTACATTTATCTATTCCCTTCATAATCACAGGCTAAACACGAGTATTAAGTATGATGCACATTTCTAGTACTATTTATTTCTAGTACTTTGTAAAAATATAGATTCTTTAGAATTTCTAGGCGAAAAGATTGAGCTTTTACTTGATCTAAATCGTATTACTTGATTAGAAAGATTGGTGAAGGTAACTGTCTATTTTTCCTACCTTGTAGAATAGTATAAAGAATCAGCAATCACTAGTTATTAGTAACTGAGGGGTATCCTTTCTTTTCTTTTCGTTTTTTTTTTTTTTTTGAAACGAAACGATCTTTATTAATATTGAAGGAAAAGGATAGGGAGGGAGATCCTCCGCTAAGCCTTAACTAAAAAGAACTAACAAGATCAAAACAACTAAAGAAACAGAGACTAAACAAGAAGACTATAAGAGGGCTTATAAAAAAGGAGCCCAACTCCTAATAATGATAGTAACTGAGGGGTATTCTCGCAGAGAAGAGTTTCAACTCATGGAGACCTAATAGATCTGTTCTTGTGATCACAAGTATATCTCCCTCCAGCGGGACAGTGAAGCAAAATAACCAGCCGGTAAGATGCCATGTGTAAAGTGAGTGGCTTCATTTGCTTTCTATCTCATTTTTCTGCTATCATTGTTGAGCGAGTTGGGAGTACCACTTATTTTAGATTCAAATATAGCTGAAGGTTCCTAATTTTATTGGAGGGAAATTTGTGGATTCACAAGGAGGTTCAGTCATTGATGTTTTAAATCCTGTAAGCTTCAAATTTGCTCAAGCTTTTTCGTAAGGTCATCCAAGAATAGTTCTTCATACTTGTTGTATTAATTATGCATATGATGTGATTTTTGTTAATCAGGCAACACAAGAGGTTGTTTCTCACGTTCCTATAAGTACCTATGAAGAGTTCAAAGCTGCAGTTAGTGCAGCCAGGCAAGCTTTTCCTTTGTGGAAAAATACACCTATCACGACTCGTCAAAGTATCATGTTTAAGCTCCAGGAGCTCATCCGCAGAGACATTGTTAGTATACATCATGAATCAATTTTTGTAATGATTCAGTAAGTAATATTAATGGTGACCGTGACTAACAACTTTCATTTCAGGATAAGCTTGCCATGACCATAATAACCGAACAAGGTAACACACTAAAAGGTGCCCAAGGTGATCTGCTTCGTGGTCTAGGTTAGAATTTTTATTTTTTAATTATTTATTTGGCTTGTTGCTTTTTCTTTCACAATTATAGTCCCTTTGTATGAATATGGGCTCATTGCTTTTCTTTTGCTTGTAGAGGTTGTTGAACATGTGTGTGGGATGGCAACTCTACAAGTGGGGGAGTTTATTCCCAACACATCTAATGGAATTGACACATATTCCATTAGAGAACCTCTAGGTGTTTGTGCTGGAATATGCCCCTTGAACTTTTCAGCTACGACTCCTTTGTGGGTATGTCTGTCTATCCTTGTTGTTTCTTTCTTTTTCCCTTCTTTTCAGATTTTAGTGAGAAACTTGACTTGTGTTCTTCTAAGTATCATGTTTTCTCCGTTTGTTTATGTTGAAGTGCTTCTTTCTTTCTCTCTCTTTTTTATTTTTTCCCCCTGAAATGAAACAAAACTTTCTGCTAATACATGTTTGTGTGATTTTGCAGATGTTTCCAATTGCAATTACATGTGGGAATACTTTTGTCCTCAAGCCTTGTGAAAAGTATCCAGGTAACTCTTTTGGCATCATTTTCTGATAGGAACCTAGGTTTTTCACAGCCCAACAGCCAAACATACACATATCAATCCAGAAATTGACAAGGAATTGGATAGAAATCAGGGAATTCTTTTATTGAAAATCACTAGTCAATCTCCAATTACACTACTAAACACTAAACGGAAAAGTAAAGGATAGAACGGAGAATTTGAGTACTCTGGGGACTCCTAATTGGTGGTATTTGAGAGACTACCACTCTCCTTAATCTCAATTTCTCAAAACTCTCAAAATCACAGCATCCGCACTTCCGAGTTCAAACGGAAAAAAATCCTCAACCACCGTGTGCCCTTGTACTAGCAACTCTACACCCCGACATACTCCTTGTTTCTTAATACACATCCTGTTGCCCACTTGCACCCCACACTTGGCCGAATAATCACATGGCAGCCCAAATTCTTTAACTACTGACTCCGATAAGGAACTATGGGAGGCGCCACTATCCACTAGTATACTATGGGAGGTGCCACTATCCACTAGTATGACCACCTCTCGAGAGCCAATCCTTCCCAACACTTTCATAGTTTTTGCAAAATTTAATCCCATCAATGAGTTAAGGGAGAGATCTACCCTTTCTTCCGATGGGTCAGCCTCAAAACTCTCTTCCTCCTTCGTCTCTCCATCTCCTTTCGACTCATCTTCGGTAGCCAACAAGAGTTGGAGTTGCTGCTTGCTCGGTGCCCGGGGCTATATTTCTCGTCACACTTGAAATGCCCTTTTGCTTGGCGTTGTTGCACCTCCTCATCCGATAACCTTTGATACCCTCCAGCTCCTCCACTCAAGGGACTAGATGACCCCAAAGCGGTAGAACGCCCTCTCCCAACTTCACCACCCTCTCTCCCATAATTGGATCAAAGAGAGCTCCTTGGAAACGAGGAACGTCCACTCGAGACCTCGCAAAACGAATAAGACCGACCCAAGCCTGCCACTCGTCCACTCTTCCACCTTCCCATTCATTCCATTGCCTCATTCCGGTCCTTGATCTACTGGGCAATTTCCATAACCTCTTGGAGGGTTGTAGGCTTATGCATCTTCACCTCGGCTCGAACATCTTCACAGAGTCCATTTAGAAAAACCCACTTGTAGAACGCACTCGGCGTTCCTTGCACCGGAGATGAGAGCAACTCAAAGCGATCCAAATAGTCTGCTACCGATCCCACTTGCCTCAAGGCCGTTAGTCTCTCCATCGGATTGCCCTCCTTGGCCCTACTAAACCTCTTCAAAATTGCCGCTTTTAACTCCCACCATATTGGTCCACCTAAACCAATTCAAAGCTCGCCCTTCCATACACATCGAGGCCACCGATACTTTCTCTCTCCGGCACCTCAAACACATTGAAATATTGTTAAGCTCTAAATAACCATCCGTATGGGTCCTCCCCGGAGAAATTCGGCATCTCCACCCTCTTTCCACGGGCATCTACTCTCCCTCGTCCTTCCGGAGTCTCAGGACGATAAACCTGTTCCCTTTCCCTCCGGGGAGTCTCAGGACGATAAACCATGAAGAGGCCTAAGGTCCCTATCTCGCTCCCAACGGTTTGCCCCATATTGTTGTCCAATTCCCACGCTCCTTATGCCTTCTACTCCAGCCTGATTGGGATCGAGGTTTCGGGCCCGGCGGCCCCTACCCGGATTCGGGTCTAGATTGAATTCCCTTCCCCGATGAAACCCATGCCGACCTTGGTCAGGTTCAGGCCTTGCCCACTGCCAATCTGGCATCCCAGCCTGTTCCTGCCGCTGCCCAACCTCCGGCGCCCATTCTGGCGGTCTCCGACCACCGTCTGCCCTCATTCTGCCGCCGAACGGCTCACCCTGACGGCGACCTAGTCCTCCCTCTCAAATCTCGGGGAAATTCGCGACCCTCAAGAAGGCCCACATCTCGGTGACGTCCAATCTCCCCATCCAGCCCCCGTGCATCGCTAATCGGAACCTCTCGCTGTGGATCAACCCTGTTTGGCTCGACCTCATCGCGTGGGTCTCCACGATCTGGGTTCTCCTTGCCTAGATCCACACAATTTCCGTGCATTTCTTCTTGTCGGCCCATCGTTGCGACCCAGATTGGCCACCCTCGACTCATGTCGCATTGTCAGAAGCGCCTCCAGACGTCGCATCGACTCTTGTAAGTCCCTAATCGTCCCCTGCATCACCCTCATCTGAGTTTGAATCCCCTCCACTTGGGTCCGTGTCTCCTTGTGCAGCTCAAACAAGCCATCTCTAATCTCAAGCAAATTCTCAGAAGTTGGGGTTTGAATCCCCCCTGGAGCGTCACTTGGTTACGGACTTTGGGAGAAGTACGGGCAGATTGGTCTCGGTTCACCATGAAGTTTACGGTGGGAAACATGTGGGTAAATTGGATCGGGGATCCTTCCTTGTGTTATACATCGGTGAGCCATCGATCGATGGCTCGGTCTCTAGGGGCTAAGCAAGTGGGTGTGTTGTTGGAATTTTGTGAGGTCTTAGGAAAGGATGGTGACGGGCATGCTGAAGTGATACCGATGGAGTTACAAGGGGTATTGGAGGCATTTGGGGAGGTTTTTGAGGAGGTCAAGGGGCTGCCCCCTAAAAGAGTGCAGGAATCACCGGATCGTTTTGAGGGAAGGGGCGGATCCTCCCAACATCCAACCCTATCGATATCCCCATTTCCAAAAAAGGGAAATTGGGCACCTAGTGTCTGACATGATTTCTTCAGGGATTATTCGGCTTAGTTGTAGCCCTTACTCAAGTCCGGTGCTTTCGGTGAAGTAAAATGATGGAAGTTGGTGCTTCTGGGCCTTGAACCAATTGATGATTCCACATAAGTTTTCAATACCGGTAATTGATGAGTTGCTTGACGAGCTCCACGGGGCTCAAGTGTTTTCGAAGTTAGAATTAAGGGCGGGGTATCATCAAATCTGAGTTCACGAGGACGATGTAGAGAAGACCGCATTCCAGACTCAGGAGGGCCATTACGAGTTCCTAGTAATGCCATTTGGCCTCACGAATGCTCCAGCCACATTTCAAGCACTTATGAACTCGGTATTCTGTCCTTTCCTTCGCCGATTTGTCTCGGTCTTTCTAGATGACATATTGGTCTATAGCAAGAACTTGGAGGACCATCGAGATCATTTGGCAAAGGTGTTAGATGTCTTGAAGCGAGAGAAGTTGTTTGCCAACAAGAAGAAATGTGTTTTTGGCTGCCCTAGCTTGGAGTACCTCGGTCATGTAATTTCAGGGGAGGGAGTGGCTGTGGATCCCTCTAAGGTTGCGGCCATTTTGACTTGGCCAACACCGGAGAGCGTTCGTGGTGTCCGAGTTTTGGGGCTCACCGGCTACTATTGGCGCTTTGTACGGCGTAATGGGGAGATTGCGAGACCCCTCACAAATTTGCTAAAGCGCGGAGGAGGGTTCGAGTGGGATGAACAAGTGAACCAAGCATTTGCGGCTCTCAAGAGAGCTATTACCTCCCTTCCAGTTCTAGCTATGCTCGATTTTACTAAGGACTTTGTAGTGGAAATGGATGTGTCCGGGGCTGGCCTAGGCGCGGTTCTTATGCAAGATGGCCGCCCAATCACTTTCTTTAGCAAAGCGTTAGCGGAGGCGAGTCTAATGAAATCAATTTATGAGCGGGAGTTGATGGCGGTAGTATTCACTGTCCAAAAATGGCGCCATTATTTGATGGGAGGGCACTTTGTGGTATGCTTTAACCAACAACATCTTCGGTTCCTCATGAATCAAAGGTTGCTTCCACCGGAGCAACTACGTTGTGTGCCCAAGCTCCTTGGCTACAATTTTGAAGTGCAATTGAAGCCGGGGGCCACCAACAGGGTGGCGGATGCCTTGTCTAGGCGAGGGGAGGCACCGACAATGGCTCTTATGGCCATTTCCATTCCCCAATTGCTCGACCTAGAGGATATTAGGAGTGGACAACAAGCGGATGAGTGGTTTATGGAGTTGTTGACTAAGTTGCAAATGAGAGTTCAGGTTCGGGACGGGTTTATCATGAAGGAAGGGTCGTTGCCTAGATCTTCTCCTTGGATTCCACGATTGTTGTATGAGTTTCATGTCTCTGTGTTAGGTGGCCATTCGGGATTCTTCTGCACCTGCAAGAGAATTTCGGGCAACTTGTTTTGGCCAGGAATGAAGGAAGCGATTTGGGACTATGTGGCGCAATGTGACGTTTGTCAAAGCTCCAAGAGTGAAGCCTTGTCGCCGGCCGGTTTATTACAGCAACTCCCTATACTGCACCAACTTTGGGAAGATATTTCCATGGATTTCATCGGCGGGCTGCCAAAATCCGAAGGCCGTGACACCATCTTGGTAGTTGTGGATCGGTTATCTAAGTATGCGCACTTTTGTACTTTCGCACACTCATATTTGACAAAGCAAGTTGCGGAACTGTTCGTTCGGGAGATTGTTCGCCTCCATGGTCTTCCTCGCTTTATCGTGAGTGACCACAACCCTATTTTCATGTGCTCGGTTTGGAGAGAGATTTTCAAGCTCCAAGGAACTAAATTACATACAAATTCCACATATCATCCCGAATCCGTGGGCAAACTGAGGTGGTTAATCGAGGGTTGGAAACCTACTTGCAGTGCTTCGCAAGTGCAAAGCCAAAGTTGCGGTCGAAGTTTCTTTTGTGGGCTGAATATTGGTTCAATACTACCTTCAATGCTTCCACTAAATTCACTCCATTTTGCGTGGTCTATGGCCGAGATCCTCCGATGCTCTACCGTTTTCAAGATGTTCTGTCCATGGATGAAGAAGTTACTAAGCAATTGTGCCTCTGGAATGCTATGTTGGATGAACTGAAGGAGCACTTGGAGAAAGCACATCATCGCATGAAGAAGTTTACTGATCAACATCGCCGGGAAGTGAGCTTCTCTGTTGGTGACTTGGTCCTTCTTAAACTTTGCCCTTACTGATTGAAGTCGGCCAAGAAACTAAACGAGAAGCTTGGTCCGCGCTATTATGGCCCCTTT